CTTCCTGTTCCCTGCTGACCCCACCCGCCCCCACGTCCCAACCCAGAGGCACTTACTCTCCCTGGCAGTGAGCAGCCGTCAGCACAAAGTTCTCCGCCACCAGGAACCCGCCGCAGTAACTGTTTTTGTTATCTTTTTTTATAAGTAGATAGGCCATGTAGGGTCTGGAGTGCAGCTCGGCTTCCTTTCCCCCGATGATCTCACCTGGGGGGAGACCGGGTCCATACAACGATTTGCAGTACTTTCCTGGTCTGGCCTGGGCCTGACTTCCTCATTGCAAAGTGGATCCTCTGCAGCCCCAACCTACACCTACGATCCTCTCCCTGGGGGCTCCCTTTGCCTGGATCCCTGGCCTCTCCCCATGGGGCTGGAGGGGAAACCGAAAGATCTGAGCTCTCTGTGGCAAGAAGTGGTGCCAGATGCACCAGCAGTGAGCGAGTCACCGCTCGGACTTGCCACAACAGCGTTGGTGGCCAAGGTCGAACCCGAGCAGGCCTGCGAACCCCCAGACAGGGACGGGCTGCCTGTAGGGGTGGGGAATGGGACCCGGGGTCTTTCTGAGCTGAGATCTGAGCTGCTGTCACTGATCTAAGGGATCATTTTCTTCTTTTCTCCAGCTCTTCCTTCCCTGCACAGCGGCTGACATCGAGGTTATCGGCGCTTGGTGAAACAAAACCCCCAAATCCTCTGTCACAGACATCACCGCTGAACTGGACAGCGACACATTTTCATCTCTGCCTGGGGAGATCTTTCCCACTACCTTCCTGCAAACTTTTGGGCTGAAATTGCCTTCCCTCAAGATCCCTCCCTCGATCCCCTGTGGCTGCCTCTGTGTGTCCGGTGTTGGGAATGCCAAGGGTAGAGAGATGGGGGAGATCATTTCGGGCACTGCTCCCCGTTTTGTAGCTGTTTCTCCACTTTGAGAATCATCTCCTGCTGGAGTTTAGGAGACAGAAAGCAGGTGGGAACCCCAAGTTCTTGGGTCATCATGAAGAACATTTTTCATCCAGGTCCTACTTCCAGGCATCAGGATGGCAATTTAACCAGGTGAAGAGCCATTTTATTTCATAGACACCTAATTGTAGCATTGACTAGTCTTTTGTCTCTGGGGAACCGGATTGAGGCTCCTTCACACGTGTGAGAAACACCCTGCAGTATAATCTTATCACTTTACCGGCCAAGTCTATTTTATCGGGACAATAATTGTCAAAAAATTATGAGTTTTCAGGTGATACTTCACAAGGCACACTTGGACCAAAATTTATCAGAATAAGTGATGAACAACCTGTCCCAAACCCTGAGGGTATGTCTACACTACAGAGCTAATTCAAACTAAGCTAATTCGAATGAGTGCATCTAGACCTAAAAACTAGTTCGAATTAGCTAATTCGAACTAGTTTTTAGGTCTAGATGCACTCATTCGAATTAGCTTAGTTTGAATTAGCTCTGTAGTGTAGACATACCCTCAGGGTTTGGGACAGGTTGTTCATCACTTATTCTGATAAATTTTGGTCCAAGTGTGCCTTGTGAAGTATCACCTGAAAACTCATAATTTTTTGACAATTATTGTCCCGATAAAATAGACTTGGCCGGTAAAGTGATAAGATTATACTGCAGGGTGTTTCTCACACGTGTGAAGGAGCCTCAATCCGGTTCCCCAGAGACAAAAGACTAGTCAATGCTACAATTAGGTGTCTATGAAATAAAATGGCTCTTCACCTGGTTAAATTGCCATCCTGATGCCTGGAAGTAGGACCTGGATGAAAAATGTTCTTCATGATGACCCAAGAACTTGGGGTTCCCACCTGCTTTCTGTCTCCTAAACTCCAGCAGGAGATGATTCTCAAAGTGGAGAAACAGCTACAAAACGGGGAGCAGTGCCCGAAATGATCTCCCCCATCTCTCTACCCTTGGCATTCCCAACACCGGACACACAGAGGCAGCCACAGGGGATCGAGGGAGGGATCTTGAGGGAAGGCAATTTCAGCCCAAAAGTTTGCAGGAAGGTAGTGGGAAAGATCTCCCCAGGCAGAGATGAAAATGTGTCGCTGTCCAGTTCAGCGGTGATGTCTGTGACAGAGGATTTGGGGGTTTTGTTTCACCAAGCGCCGATAACCTCGATGTCAGCCGCTGTGCAGGGAAGGAAGAGCTGGAGAAAAGAAGAAAATGATCCCTTAGATCAGTGACAGCAGCTCAGATCTCAGCTCAGAAAGACCCCGGGTCCCATTCCCCACCCCTACAGGCAGCCCGTCCCTGTCTGGGGGTTCGCAGGCCTGCTCGGGTTCGACCTTGGCCACCAACGCTGTTGTGGCAAGTCCGAGCGGTGACTCGCTCACTGCTGGTGCATCTGGCACCACTTCTTGCCACAGAGAGCTCAGATCTTTCGGTTTCCCCTCCAGCCCCATGGGGAGCCCAGTGTGGGGCAGAACTGGGAAGGAGG